GATTATTATAAGATCTTTCGGTAATTTCAGAAATTCTAATCAATACAATAGAATGTTTATATGTATATAATTTAATATTTAATGTAGTCAGGTTTTAGTAAGAATACTAGGGTATTTGTAAGAATACTAAATACCCAGAAATACTAGGTATATGGCAATACTCGACACAGCTGTTTGGTTAGCCAAAAATTCAATTATTTGAAATAAAAAAATTTTTTTGTTGTAATTCACTACTATTTCAAACCTCCGTAAAAATTCTAATAAAAAAAAAAAATTATTACAACAAAGTAATTTAAGTAAGCACAAAAAAAAATGATTAAATTAATTTAAAAGAATATTTTGCTTATTAAACTAATTAAATTGTTTATATTTAAATGACATAATTACTTTATTTAAGTTATATATTAACGACTACACTTAATGTACATTAGAGATTATAATGATGACATTGGCTATTGTTTATTATTTAATTTGTATTGATTATTAATAGAAGTTGTGAAGATCAAATAAGTAATTATTAATTATTTAGTACAAATAATTACATTGAAGGTTAAGAGATGTAACCATAAATATTTAATAATTAAATGGGTTAGTTTAATATGGGTAATAAAACAGTTTAATATAATTAAACAAATTAGTTTTATTTTAAATTGAATTGTATTAACAATTAAAATGAATTACAATAATAGATTTAAATTATGTATTCATATGAAGGGTAATTCACACCAACTAGTTAATTAAAAATAAATGTGTTTATTTTGAATAATAAATGATTTAAATGAATTAATTTCATAGATTGTACTTTACATTTAATGTGAAAATAAAATAAAAATATATATTTTTGAATAACGCGTGCGAATGAGTAAAAATTAGATAAACATAAACAAAACAAAAGATACAATTATATATAACATTTAAATATGCATTTAAAAACAGCATTTAAAACTGATAATATATAATATATATGCTAAAGTTACTTAAATATTTGAGTACCCACTCTTACTTGCTAGGAAATATTTCGCCAGGAATTGGGATCTTTTTCGCACATCCCAAATTAACCTCTTCCAACTATATATATGCTAAAGTTACTTAAATATTCGAGTACCCTCTATCACTTGCTAGGAAATATTTCGGCAGGAATTGGGATCCTTTTCGCACATCCCAAATTAACCTCTTCCAACTACTCTGCTTGAGAAATAGGATGTTCACAGATCTTGCTCTTAAATTGAGCTCGAACATTCAGTTTATTTGTAGTTCCTAGTAGTTTATAAGTTTACGCCAACCTCAATCCCATGACTCTTTCATGATGACTCTTCCTGTTGATCTCCTTTCTGCCATTCAGTGTTTGGTTGTGTTTACATATCCACTTCTAAAAAGTAATTTTAATGGGTTTAAGTCTATTACTTTCTATTGCAATTTTTGCGTTCGAAGCTTTTCACCAACAGTCGAAGGCCAATTGTCGAAAATGTCAATAAAATAAAAGCAATAGGCGAGGCCGATCGTCATGTAAGCACTATTTCGATTGCCTAAGAGCTAAAAATTGCACAGAACACCTTTTGAAACCATTTGAATAAAATTGGATACAAAAAGAAGTTCGAACTATGGTTGCCATACGAATTACCGCCAAGAACCTCATTGAGCAAATTTCCATCTTCGAATCGCTACTGAATCGCAACTAAATCAATCCATTTTTAAAGCGATTGGTGACTGGTGATGAAAAGTAGATCACTTATGATAACATGATGCGAAAACGGTTAACAGTTAGCCGGCTGAAAAGGTGAATAAGCCATTGACGGCCAGTAAGGTTTTGCTGTCTGTTTGGTGGAATAAGTAGGGAATCATCTATTATTATCTGCTCCCCTATGGCAAAACGTTCTAGCTATATGGTTCTAATGCTTCTTTAGTATTTCTTAATTGGAGACTTATCCTTTTTTCCAGTCATTATACTTAATAAAGATCGATAAGGCAATTTATGACAATTTATGTTTTAATTTTCGTACAATTTTGATTTCATCTGATATAAAAAATATTTCTGAGATATTGATTTATGTTTAAAAAATTCTTGAGAGAAATAACGTTTTCTGAAAAACTTAACGAATGTTTGAAAACAAAAAGTTAAATTATTATAATTTAATTTCCAAATTAATTAATTTCCAATAATTTAGAATAATCCGTAACAGGATATTTAAAAACTGTTTTGATATTAATTTTTTCTTGGTTGAAGGTTTTTCTCGGCTCCAATTTTCTTTGATGTTCTATATCTCGGCTATTAATGAAAGTAAGTTCCACTCTCATATGTTTTCTTATTGGTTTATTTGTTATTTAAATATTGTATACCTTGTATTGACATAAATTTCTATAATTAAGTATAAATATTTTTATGGGGATTTCTAATCTTCTTTGTTCACACGAGTATCACTTCACAATTTTACTACAAAATTTGCAAACAGATTTCTTTAAGAAACAGCCTACGCATTTTAAAAAAAATAGTTTATGGTTTAGAGTATTAGTTAATGGGTGTGAAAAATTATATTATGAAAATCGTGAACTGAAAGATATTAATCTTTATCAATAATTTTATGCAAATATGATTTTATTTTGTGAGCCTTAAAATGTTTTGTATTAATTTATTAAAAATGCAAGTTTAAGAATTTAAGAAGTAGTAACCTCTGGTGGGAACATTTTAGTCTAAAGTATTACCACATCATTTTATTTTAATTCCTGCAATACAAATATAAATATTAAAAAAAAATGTTTAAAACTAATATATATATAATTAATAACAAATGCAAATTAAAAGCTTGTTTACCCCTGTTTTTACATATCCGTACAACTAACAAAATTTGCTGGATCTATTTTCACTGGGAATTTTATACAATACATAGTATACAATACATAGTATACCAAGGTACAATACATAGTAAGCAATGTTTCGCAACTCAAAACGAATAATATATTTAATGCAATTAAAAGGAATATGTAAATTATTTAATGTAATATTTTGCTATAATACCAATGTCTTTCCAAAAAAAATAATATAGGCGAAAATATAATATTTTATGGTTCCGCTTTACTTTATTGTGGAACCCCGCTATATGGCATACAGGACTGCGACGGAATCGCAGCGTGACCGAGTCTTACATTCTTCATACTATTGTGATCATCTTCTACTTGAACACTAGAGAGCCCAAACAGGCATGCGACAGTCAAAAAGATTTATTGATCCTGATCACATCAAAGTTGATGCTATCCTTGGCCTTAGCAGAAACGATATTAAAATCTACACTGAACTTCTTACAGGACACTGTAGACTTAATTACTACATGAAGATTATAGGTGTAGTAGAAAGTGACTCCTGTCGACTTTGTCATGAGGAGAAGGAAACATCAGAACATGTTTTATGCAACTGCCCAGCGGTGTCAAGACGTAGACCTTGGACCTCGATTACTCGATTACCTTGGAAGTGGGATATTAATCCCAAGTCAAATGGGTAAAATTAAGCCCACTACTTAATTAAGCCTATTACTTAGATAATAAGTAGCCCAAAGATCATCTGGTAGCCCAAAGAGAGTATATGACACCTTATTTATTTTATTCCGAACTTCATTATTCAGACTTGCTTTTCTAATAAACATTAGTAGGCTTAGCTATTTTTGTTAACTAGTTATTTATATATTTGGTATTGTTATATAAATTTATAATTATTTTGTATCTTAATTTTTTCTGCCAAAATGAAGTAAATTTTCAAAATTATTAAGTCCTAAAACTTGTCAAAAATGGATTCTGAATCAATTCCTGATGACGTTTGGGCTTTCCTAACTGCATTTCTCATTTTCACGGCTGCTATCTTGATACATATATTTGAAGTTGAAGTGAAGCTGGAAAGGCTTATTGGATATCAGTTTACTGGAAAGAGTAAAGATATTGAGGTAGTATCAAGTAGAATAGAAAAAGGTAGAAGGGAGTACGTGGTAAGTGAATGATTCAAAACTTTTCTATTTGTACTATTGAAATTTTTTGATATTGCTTTCTGCAGCTGGAACTTATGTCATCATTAATACCGATTATCCAACAGCATGGACAGAAAGTATATCATGTATTTTTAGAAAAATGTTGGCCTGTAATTCGAGGATTTTTCAAAAGATAAAACCCACTTCGAATAATAGAATTTTAAAATTTAATATATATTGAAGTAAAAATGAATGCAATTGAGTGAAACTGAGTTAGTGAATATATTCAACTTACAGGAATACATACGGAATAGCTGGATAATATAAAAATGGAATAAATATTTAACAGATATGTGTACCTAATTCATTATTTTTATAATAACGATTGCTGTCTAGAGTACAAAATAATTCGTTAAAATACTTAGATGTTTATAAAAAGGAATACAGATATATATAATTATATATTATTATACAGATATATATTATGTATAAAATTATAAGTGCTCATAGTTTAGGTAGAATCTATTTACATGAGAAGATGAGCTCAAGGAGAGGAAACTCATTGTTTTGCAGAAAATTTCTTCTTCCTGTGTGCGCTAATCGAAACAACCGCCGAAACAAAGGCAACGACTCTTCTTTTAGATATAGGTAGGTAAATCAACCTGGCTAAGTCCATAATAATGTAGGATGACAGGTCGGTCAGTTAGCTTAGACAAGGGGCCCGAGGATTTTTTATCTCCTACCTAAAGATGGGCACTGACACATAAGATGAAGTACAGTCTCCTCTTCATCCTTAGAGCCACCAGCCGCGACAAAAGTCGTTAGAGGGTAGACCCAGTCTCATAGCATGCCTCCCTATTATGCAGTTTCCGGCCAGCACAGATATCGTCGTGACAAGCAGGTTCCACCTTAGTTGAAATAGCTGACTAGTGCGTTTTTTGCCCAAATTAGATTAAATTAATCTAGATAGCTAACAGCAAAGTTTTTCAGCCTAGTATTGCTTTGCTATGCTCAGGTATTTCTGATTAATTGTCAGTTTAACTGTAATCAGTGAGAAGTAAATGTCAGGGAGAACAGCGCCTGTCTTCGCTAGCTCGTCTGAATGCAATTCCATGAGATATCCCATATAAGTTGGTCATGCCTAGCTTAGTTATTAATGGAATTGCGGCAATTTTGAGTAATAATGGATGTGGTTGAAAGTGCTACCAGTGATTTAATGGCAGCTTGGCTACCTAAGAAGATTGAAATAGTAACATCAGTGATTTCAACTCATTGTACTGCATAATGGATTCCCATTACGACACTGCAGTGGTAGTTGAAACAGGTGTGGATGGGGTAGTGGGGTGATCCAAGTAAGCAAATTGAGCCATTTGAGTAATTGAAGCATAGGGGGTGTGTGGTGTGCTCCAAGTAAGCCAATTAAGCCATTTGAAATTTGCCTGCCCATTGAATTACTGGAATAATAAAAACGTTATGGGTGCAATATTCTTCACTTGCATAAAATATGTCCAGTCATTGAAATTTTTGTTTTATTTGTGACACTTTATTTCTTAAAAGATTTTAATGTTCTTAAACTAATTTCCTTTCTGTATTATCTATAAAAATTGATAGGCTGAGTAGTCTGATTAATAGCATTTTCTTAACAGTGGTTTTTTAACAATGAACAGATATGGTGTTTTATATATATATTTTCTTTTATATAAAAGAACTTAATAAATATATTCTTTTTCAAAAGGATCTATGTTGTCTTTGTAAACTAAAATGAGCTTTTAAAGTTCATTATATTATTTATCCTTTTTAATTATTTTAATGATTCCATTAGTTCTTGACCTCTAAAATGCGTTAGTAATGTCGATACTAGCAGATCGTGTAATAATAGGCTTACATTATAATTACTGCAATAAATTGGTAATTTATTTTTATTTACAATTCGTTTTAGTTGGAAAAATTAATGAATTATTCAAATAAAAAGTAAATGCCACATACTTGCTTTAATGATTTAAATATGCCTGAAGTCATAGTATTTTCTTTAACTGTAGATTGAACAGCCATCAATAATTGCTAATACATTATCAAAAATAAAAAGAAAATTCACATAATCAAAATGAATACTTTTTATATTGAATTTTAATTTTTATTTTATTTTTTAATTTAAAATATAACGCCCACTTGTGCACTTGGCATATAAATTTAATGCAATTCATTAAACCATATCGAATGTCATTAAGAGTTTTTAATATAATTTTAATAGCTGTAAAATGCTATAGTGCTCCACAGACCTGGAAAAGTCAAAATCGCAAACCTGCCATTTAATTGTGTCAGCAGATAAATAAAGTCAAGTTTCTGGTTGCATGAAATCAATTGACAGTTCCAAAGAGCTTATTGAGGTATTATTCTTGGGCTGTAAAGCCTGACTTCAAGAGCAAATAGTAAAAGAATAAATTTTGATATTTTAAATATTTTGTATGAGTAACATTTCGGCATGCCAAAGGTATTAGTATGGCATGCTGAATGCGGCTCAAGCACTCAGAAATCTATTTTGTAATACACAAAAAAATGATTCCAATGATTAAACGCCCATTAATGTTGCATGTAGCATGCAGCATGCAGCATGTAGCAAGCACCGTGTAAACGTACGCTAAGTGAGCCATACCGGCGCTTAATATCATAGCCACGATATTAGCATTGCCATATTTCATGCAAAATCAGCCTCTAAAATAATTTCAGAGCGTTTAAGCGTTTAAGCATTTAAGCATTTAAGCATTTAAGCCTTTAAGAAGCGACAACATTTAACGCTTTTTGCAATATTGCGATTTTTTATCAAAAAATGTTTCATGTTTTATTTGAATTTCAAGCGCCTGGGTTTTCGTGCAGCAGGTGTCGTGGGGCGCATGTTGGTATAATTTTTGCAATCATTTGCAATGAGCTCTATTAAATTTCATCATTGAATATGCCAAAATGCTTAAATCATATTAATTTCAATTTAGGCTACGAAATTTATTGAAATGTTATAAGCGTTTCATGTTCATTTGCGAATCCATGAATGCAAGTGCTTGGATTCCGGCACGTTTTCCAATTTTTTTCCTTCTCGTTTTTCATAACAAAATAGATACATGTTAAAACATATTCGAAAACATTTCTGTCATAGATTTTTTATTAGCTTTTAGTATATCGAAATGTTTTCAAGAATTTCACAGACTACTTCATTTACACACATTTCTGTTTAATTTGGATTGGCGGTAATTTTCTTTTAATTTACAAGTAATTTTTTTTTATAACTTAACTTCGACATCTAAATTGTCTTTAATTGAAGAAAAACAAATAATCTTACGTATATTTGCATAAGCTTTAATGCTTATTTCAATCTAAGCAACTTAATTGTGCGCGCTTAAATAATTTTGTTGGATTTATAGTGCGATCTCAGTGCTAAGCGTCGATCTCAATGAGGTGACACACCATCCAATCTGCTCATGAAAAGTTGTTTAATATGCACGCAGTGGAAATATATACACAATTATATATAACACATATGTATATATACGCAGATATGTGAATAAACTAACACAAATTGTTAAGAGTGACCATATTCTTAAAAGGAGTGGTTTTGAGTTTGTTGAGTTCCCAAACCAAAATGCCATTTAAAGATCACATGTACCATTCAATATGGACATTTGGGATGGTAAAATGATGTTTTCAAATGTTCTTGTTCTGAAAATAATTTATAGAATAGTTAGATTCGATTCTTTTCAAATAGTAGTAATCTGTCTACTATTTTATATAGGTAAGTAAATAATCATCATTTATAAATGTAGAATTTTTGGTATTTGATATATAAAATTTTAAGATTTTTGCAGTCTCAAAATAATTATTTACGAATAATTAAATACAAGAAATAATTCCAAGAAATAATGATGGATATTTGGTAATACTCGAAACAGCTGTATGTTCAACCAAAAAGTCAATTAATTAAAATAATATAAAGAGGTTTTTTCGAACAGTAGTGAAATACAACAACAAAAATTTATTTTTTATATTATTTTAATTAATTGAATTTTTGGCTGACCATACAACTGTTTCGAGTATTGCCAAATACCCCTCATCAGTGGTCTTGAAAATAATTCTTGTATTTAATTATTCGTAAATAATTATTTTTTGAGACTGCAAGTACCAAGAATCGAACTCGTGTCCTGCCAAATGTGAAGCTCAGAATCAACGCACCTTAACCAACTGATCCAAAGCCGTACTTGACTTTTTTGTTCGCATATTTTTCTGGAGTTTTGTTATTATTACTAGGAAAGTTTTTATTAACAATTTTACTTGCTGTGTTTATATTAGAATATTTATATTAGAAATAATATAAAAATAATTTTTGTTGTTATAGTTCACTACTGTTCGAAACTTCTCTATAAAATTTACATATTTTCATATATTTTGTACGTTTTCACATGCGATTGTATGTCACCTTAATATGCTAATATGCATATTACATTTTAATACAAATATGTAATATTTAAAATACTGACATATATACAAAGTGATTTATAAAAAAATTATTTATTCAGACATATATAACATATATAAGAAATATCATTTCGGTTGGCACTTTACAAATGCACTTTATTGCAATTATACAGTAACCAATTTTTCTGAGCTTTTGGTATGAAATTGAATATCTTAACTTGAATTTTGTAAGAGTTTAAATAAATTTTTTTTTAATTTATAAATTATAAATTTGTTTAACAGAAAGACCTTTTAGTGCTGTAGTTGTTGATATGTCACACATTTTAAAGTTTTTGTTTTGGTAAAACTTAAATATTTTTAAATAATGTAATTTTTTTCTTTTTTTAATAATTCTGTAGTGTGACAACATGCAGCAATTTGCATCTGTGAAGTTTGCCATTTATTTCGAATGTTAACACAATTATGCACTTTTCGTCTTAAATTTTTAAAAAATTTTTTTATTTTTGTTACAAAAATTAATTGACGCTCGGCAATTTGTTTAAAAATGTATGCAGTGTATTTTGCAAATTGATTTAAAAAAAAAAAAAATAAATAAAAAATATTGTTGTAATTGAAGACAAGATTTAAACCATGAAATTTAAATACAACATTTTTAGTATATAGGGTGTTTCATAAATAA